GATTGTGTTTGCTAAAATAACAGGGTCAACTTTTCAAGCTACATGCACTACTAAAAAGGTGTATAATGATAAATGTAAATTAATATGCTTTGGACATGATTCAAAAAATAAAATGCTTGACGAACTTATTGAGAAGAAATGCATATATTTGTCTGATTGGAAGAACCTCTGTAATGACATTCGCAAAACTGAATTGTTGTTATTCCAAGCTTATAGTAAATTTAGTTTCATATGTTATTCTAATATCGAATTCTGTCCCTATTAGTTTAATTTTTGGCATTACTAAACACATTTGTTTCAATATTTTAGAAGCGAAGCTCAAAGTTTTCATCTTAGATTGTCCAGCACACCCTTTTTGTCACGTGAGAAAAATATTTGACTTAGATATTCTATATAAAAAAGTGACGATAGAAGAATTTAAGTTATTTATTCAGGCTTTATGAGCAATCAGATATGCACTATCTGATATTATTCATGATTATGAAAAAATAGGAGAAAAACTGTTAAAAGATTATAATAAAATTGCTGGTTCAGGCCCGAATGAAGTTGATTGTGGAGTACGATATTATCAATCACACCCTTCTCTGTAATGATGCATAAAGACAGCTGTGTTTATAGATGATTGAATAATTATTGTTATGACTAAAGGCAAGGACTTTAAACGAAGTCAGAAAAAATTGTAGTATGTTCTCTAGAAACAGGTTACTTTCAAAAGTAATTAGATGGATGGTTTTCTTGGACAAGTTCAGTAATCGATCTTATGATGAATACAACAAGTAACATTGTTGAAAGCTATTTAGAAGATATTGAATCTGATGCTCCTGATAATTTTCATTTTCATCATCTTCAATATAATTTGGACGATACAAGAAAAGCAACGCTTATTTTTGATATCTTATATTTTAATGATTGGTGATTACAGGTTTTCACTCATATACTTATATGTGGGCTTGGTGCTGCAAAAAGAAGAAAAAATGACAATTTTACCAAAAACAAATTTTTTAAGCATAACTAATTCAAAATTAACTCAGGAATTATTTAGTTTTATGAAAAAATATTATTATCTTAATAAAATTTTGCCTATAGTGTAAGAAAAGGAACAGACATGAAATATTTTTTATTAAAGAAGATTTTTATATAATGACCGGAATTCATTCCTTATAAAGAAAACTTTTTTTATGAGAGGAATTACATTAAAGTTGGGTTCCTAAACCCTAAACTACGAGCTTAGGTAGAGTTTAGACTATGTAGTTTTGGGTCTAAAGATCAACTCTAAACTACATAGACATCTACGTAATCCACTATTCTAAAATCATAGGAGATTGAAATGGGAAGAGAGACTACTAGATGTCAAAGTACAGCTAAACGGTCACATAAAAAATAAGTAAAATTTCTAATTGATTTATTGACAACTTCGGGTTTTAATTTATAAAAAAAAGAATAAATAAGATATTGTTTATGAAAAATAACAATTATTTAAGCATTCTTTATATTTTCTCTTTGTAATTTGAAATATATTTTATCTATATTTTTCAAGAACTTGTATTTATTTAAGGTACATTATCGCGTTGTAATTGTTATATGAATCTTAATGGGGTTGATTCACATGACCTTATCTCTGCTTTAACGTAAGCAGAGATTAGATCACATGATAAATGTTTCATAATACCGGCTAACAATCTCGCCAAAAACTTCGATAAAGACTTTTTACTAATAGAAAATTTTCGTTAAAAGGTACAAAATGAGTGACGCTAAAGAAAAAGCAGACTTCAATTAATATGCGTATTTTTTAATTAAAATTGTTTTAGCATACAAATATGTGAAAAAATATACAGTTCGGGACAGGATAAGACATCCACTTTTTATATAGTAGCTTAAAATCGTTATAACTTTTTTAAAAAAA